AGAGAGAGAGAGAGAGAGAGAGAGAGAGAGAGAGAGAGAGAGAGTATGTGCAAAGCTTATAGAGAAGAGACCTGGAAATCAAAATCCAATTTTCCATGAATAGCTGGGAGTTAAGTGGTTGGGATGGCCTGAGATGGGTCCCTTCCCCTAATTTAGGGTTGTTCAACTTTGCCAAAAACAAATGAGGATGGGGGGGGGGGGTGAGGACTGATAGGACTAGCATTGAATATACCTGACCAGCCTGGGTTGGTCAGCCTGAGGTGGGGCCCTGTTGGCTGGAGGAGGAGCTCACCATGATTTGATTTCAGGTCAGGAGGGCGAGGAAAGAGCTGAAAGTTGGCCATTTTTATCATTCAATGTGGCCTTTCCCTGGTCTGATTGTCAGGGATCTGCCTCTCTCCCACTCCTTCCCTCTGCTCTTGCCTGTACAGATGACAGATGACCCCTAACCTCATTGGCTCTTTCAGTTCAATTGAGGGTCTTTAAGATGCACAGGCTTCCCCAGAAACAGCCCCAGAGATGCGGTTCTCCATTTCAGAAACCACAGGGCTCGCTGGGGAAGCCCAGATGCCCTGTAACTTGTTCTTTGCTTATTTCAGCTCAATGTCTATGTTGATGTGCTGCCATCATACCCCTGTGGCTATGTCCCCTCTCAGGGTCTTCGGTAACCATGCAGGACCCCTCTGTGTGCTGCACAACATTCTCTTCTAAATCATTTGTTTCCCTTCAAGTTCTAGTTCAAATGTTCACATCCTCTGAGCTCTTCTTCAATTCATCTATTTGAAATTCATCTTTTGAAACCTCAGAGCTTCTGTGGTTGGATAAACATGCCTTACACAGCACCTCCCACTCATTGTGGTCTGCATTCCTTACCTGGGTGCAGCTTCAGAGACCAGCCTTGTGCCCAGCACCTACAGGAAGATGGCCTAGTGAGCAATTGAATTCAGTTTGGGGATTTTATTTGCTGGCCAGACACCCAGCTAGCAGAGGGTGCCAGGATTGACCCTTCTTCCAGAGGGTGTTGAAACTCATTTACATGTTGACTTCTCCCCCTTTCCTTTCCAGAGGGTCACTTCCTCACCTTTCAATCGGGGAGGTTGATATCAGCCTTAGAGGAATTGTGTTTGCCCTCACGCTCAGAAACAGAGGCTATGTGCCCAGAGCAGTGGAGGTTCTAGTCTTGAGTTCACTTGTCTGGGTGTTAGTATGAACTGTGCCTGTGTTTTCATCAAAGGGATGCACACCAATGTCATGAGGTCTGCCCTCTTTCTACTTTTGTGCTCTTATTCTCTTTCACCAACAGGCAAATACAAAGTATCTGCTTCAAGAATGTAGTGATAATTAGGAATTTGAATCTCCAGAACCCACATACAAGCTGAATAAGCATGGTATTCTGTCTGTAATCCCAGAGCACATGAGCTGGCTAGCCAGAGTAGCCTGAGTGGTAGCTCTAGACTCAGCAAACACCCTGCCCTAATATATAACCTAGGGAATGATCAAGAAAGATGCCCTGCGGTAACCTTAGGCCTCTACATGCATGCTCATGTGTGTCCCCCTCCCCCCACACAACACCACCACCACAGAGCAGGGATCCTTTTAAAATGCCCAGCAGCACAATGCTGGCACCATAGGAATTCCACCATAGGAATTCCAGCATGGGGGTAGGGTGGGAAGGTCCTGGGATGGGAGATCCATGTTAACTTATGGGTCTGAGCTTATTAGCTAGCAATTCCTGGGTAGCCTGTAGCCCACACGCAGAGATGTTTTGAGGGTTGCAGGGAGTGTGGGAATGGCTATGAAAGTTAAGAGAGATACAGGACATAGATGAATAAGTTGAATTTGTGCTTTTTCTTGAGACTCTTATGTCATCAAAGATAGGTTTAAAAGCCAGAATCCTGTTTAGGTCCTTAGCCATGCTGCTTGTGAGTTCTGTGACTTTATGCAAGTTACCCATCCTCTCTGTTTCTCAACTTCATCTCTAAAATGAAAGTAATGAAAAACACTTTATAGGCTTCCCAGGACTGATAAATGACAGGACGTGTTGTAAGTTTTGCCTCCATTCCTGTTTAATGGTAAGTGCTATGTAATGCGTTCACCTTTCTGTTCACCGCTCCCTGTCTGGCAACTGTATTGTTGCCAGCTAGCAATCAGAATCACCTTCAGTGTCAACATTTACATTACATCACCCAGGCCCCTTAAATGAGGCATAAGCTTCCCAGGCCGCCAGTCCTTGTCCTCTCACCTTGTAGCTGCCCTGCTCACTTACTAATAATGTTGCTTTGTCACCAGCTGATTAATCCAGCTCTTGGTCACTCATTTACAAGGTGGCTAAGCAGTGAGCCAGTTGTTTTTATGTGTCTCAGGCTGGCCTGAACTTTGTAACTCTTTCTGTAGACCAGACTGGCATCAAATTCATCCTCCTGCCTCAACATCCTGGCTTTAGGAAGTGGGTTTATGTGTCTCCCGTGAGAGCTGGGTTGTCAAGTCAGTTTCAATGGGAAGTGTGGCCTTAATGTCCACTATCACTGTGGAGCTTTCATGAAGCCTAAGTGAAACAATGAGCCAGGAACTCGAGGTGCTAACAGTCTGATTCTGGTGCCCACCAAACATGTGACCTCTCTAGCACAGGTGTCCTATACTTTTATTACACATGTTGTATCTCCATGTGAAGTTCAAAACATTCAGGTCTGTTCCTAGGCCCTTAAAATAACTTGTTAATTCTGTACTCATGGGGGCTAGTATCTTGTAAATGTTTGATTCATTTATTTGTTTGTTGCTTTAATTTTTTTGTGGGATAGTAGATACTGCTTGGCCTGGGCTGTTCTGTTCTGGGTGATGTCTCCCGTAAAAGGTGTGCGAGCTGCCCTGTGGAGCTGCACTCCTTAGAATGATTTTTATCAGTGTCATCCTACTCACTTCTCTGAGTTGAGAATTCTCACTGCATCTCCCCCCTGCCCCCATTCCCACATTAGAGTAACTTCCTGTGGTTTCTCCAGAATGTTGCTCTGTGTGGTAATTACACTCCCATCATTTCCCCTCATAGAAGATGTTTGGAGGCCTCACCATAATTACCCAGTGGAAATAATTATATCTTAGCTTTTGACAAAAGCCTTCAATTTTGCTGTGCGTTCAGCTCACATACCGAATCGGAGTTGCTGTTTTTCAGGGTTAGTGTCTTGTGACTGTAATGTGCTCTATAACAGTACTGTCGATTTAGTGATGTATGTCACAATAGCGACCATTTCACTGGTTTATTTGAGAGACCAAGAATAAGTCTAAAGGAGAGATCTGGAATTTATAATATGCTGCAGTTATAGGTTTGACTTACCCAATGATGGATAATGAAAGCATTTTGTCAGTAGTCTTAAAATTCAAGTGTTGAACTGTTTGGTTTCATTTGTGGTCCTTCTTCTGCTCGTGTATGCACGCCATAGGAAAGCAACTGTAGAGAACTCAAGACTGAAGCTTCTATTTAAAAACCATCCTTTTTTTCATCTCAGTGCTGGGGAACAAATCCAGGATCTTGGGAATGCTAGGACTTGTTTGTTTTTCTGTCACCTTGGTGCTGTACCTGAATCTACTGTTAAACTACCATCAATGGCCCTGCAGTCAGCACGCAGAAACTCAGGCCAAGGCCTGTTTGTTGTAATTTTAGGAAAAAAAGTGGCTTGAGAGAGAAAGCAGAAGGATTTTTTTAGGGGAAAGGGATCATAAAAGGGGGACATAAACAGCAGAGAGAGAGGCAGAGAAAGAGAGGGGGCAGAGAGAGAGAAAGAGAGGGAGGGATGGAGGTGGGCAGGGCCCTATTGAAAGGGAACAGTGATTGGGCTCAGGTGGTACTCTTAGTGGCAGTATTCTGTTGGGACTCCAAAGGTAGGCCTGTACAAATGCCTAAATAACAGCACTGGTGGGATCTACAGTCTCATTGGTGCTGGCTCTGCCGCTGACACCAAGTGTAGTTTTTAACGGAGTCTCTATTGTTCCATTTACCATTAATGACTTGGGAGACAGATGTTGAAATGAAAACCTGCTAGCTAGAAAAGGCTGAGAAGCAACTAACTGACCATCCTTTTTTGGCTGGAGACCCAGCAAGAAATCATCGCTCCAGCCATCCCAAGCCAAAAAGACAGCAGAACTCCAGGTCCATCCCTACTCTATCTTCTGCATCTCTTTGTCCATCTTCCTGGCTCCTGCTTACACACTATGGCTAATTCCTGTCAATGAGCTCCTGGCTCTGCCCCCTGATCCAAGGTTGATTTTATCAATACAGTCTCTGGTTTCACAGTGTGATCAAATATCTTGCAACCGTACTACCCACCCTGGAAGGCCACTCTAATGGTGATAAATCAGTTAGAGATGGCATTCTTTTTACTTTTGTAGCATATTATAAGAAGAAGACCCATTTGAGCTGGGTATGGTGGTGCAAGTATTTAATGCCAGCACTTAGGAGGCAGAAGAAGGCAGATCTTTGTGAGTCCAGGACAACCAGAACAAATAATAGGACCCTATCTCAGTCAATCAATCAATCAATCAATACCCCCTTTTGATTTGTTTTAGCAAACATTTACTAATATTTATTAATTAAACAATGGGACTTTCTCTGTCCTCAAAATATACTTAGTCTGTTCAAGGAGTAGATACATTTAAACAAATTATCACAAGGCAATGTGATAAATAGCTAAGGAATGATTCCACACAGGTGAGGAAGTAATTGGGGCTGAGGTAGTAGTAGGAAGCTGGTATTTGGGATTACATGGAGTAAATGATAGCAACTCTGGTTTCACCTGTAGATGGGAACTTACAAGGTGAGTCAGACGGAAGGTTATATATACAGTGGAGTGAGAACAAAATCACAGCCTATTAAGGAATGTAAAGGTCAAGGAGTGGAAGTGCTGTTAGCAGATGATTTCATGAACACAAGGAATATCTCTCACCTCCATGGCCTTTGAAACCATGAGGGGAGAGAAACCGAAACCTCCGTCTTGTAGGCCTGGTTAGAAAGTCCTCATGTTTTCTAGAAAAGTTCAACAGCAGCGTGTACAATTGCAGAAAAACATATTTTACTTTTATTTAAACCCACAAAGAGATCAAGAAAAACATAATGGCCTAAATAGAATGAGTCAGGCTTTGAAAAATCTTCCCATGTGGATATCACTAACCATAGGCCAACCATCCCATTGCTTATATACACTAAGGTTGGTACATCCTGTGTAGGTGTCTACAGTCTGTGTGTGAGTGTGTGTGTGTTTGTGTGTGTGTTTGTGTGTGCATAGAGGGGATCAAAAGATACCAAAAATGTGTGACATACCTGTCTTTTTAAGAACCCTGTTTTTGGGAAATGTGGTCCAGAATCACAGCAAACTAGTATACCAAAATGTACAACAGGGCCCTAATGCATATAGACAAACAGCGGGAAAAGTAATTATTTTCCATCTGGGGTGCAGACTGTTTCTCTGGAAGGTTTTGCTGAATGACACCACCTTCCCCCTCCCAGATTGTGCATGGCTGTGTGCCTCTTCTGGTGGACTGCTGAGATGCAGCAGAGGCCTGCTGCACTTGTAAGAAAAAAAATCTGGGAATTCCTGGGATCATTTTGACCCACTATAGTTCCTCAGACTGCATCTCTTTCAGCTACTGCCTTAGGCTTCCCTAGGCAGGTAATTGGTTTCTGTCCACAAGTATCATCATTTTGAAGGCTATGAAAGCTTCATATTCTAGGACAATAAAATATAGGAAAATTTGTTCCCCATTTTTCTGTAAAGCTTACATGGAGTCTCCAAGTAAATGATCTTTTTAAGTCCCATCCTTAAGTAGAAGCAACACTATGAGTAGAATTACTGTGTGGGAAATGTTGTCAGGCTAGGATGATATTGTCTGTGTTACTGCTGTGGTGTTCTTGGCTTGATGCTGCTATCCTTCTCCCTTTCAAACATGGGATCCTCTCTGTGAATTTCTTACATAACAGTATGTATATTAATGGGTCCATACAAATGTTAGTTGTAGCCAAAAAGAGAGCTATTTCTTTAGCAATGAATAGTTGGTTTTCTAATCTACAGTTAGTCTTATTGGTTTGACTGTATGTGTATGGAATTCTGACAAAATGGAGTGGGGCAAAGCAGACAAAGAACACGGCTATGACTATAAATACTTTCACCTCCACCCTTTTGTGTTTGTTCTCCTTACTTGTAAACTTTTTATAGGAGTTGTATACTTTTTTGGTGATCACCACATAAAACAGAAGCATCAGAATAAACACAGTCCAGAAAATGAACTGGCATGCATGAGTGACTACTTGATGCCACACCAGCCCCAGAGAACTCTTCAAGGATGCACACTTCTTCACAGATGATGGTGTTGCCTCCTTGTTGTTCAAGATCATGTTCGGCAAGGAGATGAGGAACATCAGGAACCAGATGGAAATTGAGACTAATTTTGCAAAAGCAGGTTTTTTTGCAAAAAAATTCCTAAAGGGTCTGATGATCTTGAGGAATCTGTCAAAGGCGATGAGGCCCAGCATTATGATGCCTACATACATGGTCTCGTAAAAGATCACGGAAGAGAAGATACACACAAATCTTCTAAGTTGCCAGGGTCCAAGATGTGAATCGGAAAGGATTTTGAAAGGAAGCATTAGTGTCATTATCAAGTCTGCCACCAGAGTGTTTTTGAGGTAGACTGTGAAAGTAGAACTGCTGGGGATGTGAATGAACACCCAGAGGGCCAAGGTGTTCAGCAGGAGGCCAATCAAGAAGACCACAGTGTAGAGGGCTGGGAAAACCAACTGTGTCATCCGCGTGTCTCTGGGGCACCGCTCAGACTTGTTGAAGCCCTGCATCACAGTGGCATTGGCTGTCTCGTACATCAGCTATTATAAATAAACATGCACATAAACGAATGAAAACAAACAGCCCTCAGGACTTGGCAGATACTACTTTTTGTTAAGTCCCATTAATTTATACCTTTGTGAAATCCAAACAGCAAGCACTACTCATTACATTGCAATAACAGTACCCAGTTTAAGATGTAAGAGTACAGGGTAGTTTCTCACATATTATGTAGTGCCTTATTCTTATAGTCTATGTTTACAGAATATGATATTTAGATTTTTAAAAATATTAGCCACATTCTATCTGTCATAGCAAGGACATTCATAAGAAAAAATTGAAACTGACCTTTGTCTGGGAAGATACTCGGCTGTATGTATTGTGACAGTCATTAGCTCAACCCACGAATAGCTTGTGCAGTAAAGGTTCTGCTTTCTTATACTGGCTTTCCTTCCTCATTTTCACTTGTGGGCTTCTGTAATACCCATATTTTCTAGAACCTCTTATTCTTTGTCGCTTTGGAGTGCCAGGGACCGTACCCAGCGCTTCCACTGGCTCAACAGGCACACTCAGCCACATTCCTAACATTTGCGCTATTTTATTATAATTAATTATATGCACGGGGGTGCACTCACATGCAGGCACACACACACAGGCCAGAGGTGTTGGATTGCCAGGAGCTGGAGTCACAAGCAATTGTGAGCCACCTGAGGTGGGTGCCTGGAACATGCTTTTAACTGCTGCACTATTTCTCCAGCCCCAAATTTATTTATTTATTGTTATTGTTATTGTTCAAGTTCAGTGACCTTTTGCAATACTTCATCTGTAACAAGGAGTTTAAATGATGGAGAAAATAGTGCTATTCACAACCAAATAAGAGGATAAGATTTGATTTGAAAATCAGATACCTTCTGTACCCTGTAGGAGATCTTTCAAGAAGTCTGTATGAAGACAGATGGTCTCTTTATTTCTGCAGACATGGTTGTTTATCTTTTGATCCCCAGATCTCTGGGATATAATGTGCCATGTTTTCTAAGAAGTGGGAGCTACTGTCCCTGAACCTTTCCATCATTTGGTATTATGGCTAAACAAATGTTTTAGGAGCTGTACATCTTATTTCTTTGTGTATCAAGTTTGAAGGTATCATCTACTTCATGGGAATGCTGGGGAGGTGGATGGATGCTAGCATTGAGCATACCATAAAAATAAAAATTAAAAAAGAACTAAAAATGTCAATCAGTCATTGCTTTGGTTTCCTCAACTGCCAATTTGAGTCAAGATACAGCATGTCACTTTTAGAAAGCCATTTTTGGAGACCACCTGCATTCTTGAGACTTATAAGAATTTTGTGAATCAGTGCTGGGCTGAGATACCAATGTTTCAATGTTTACTTTATATCTCACAAAGTGTGGGGAAAGTTATTGTGTGTGACAGTATGCTTGCCTGCCAGACAGATGAAGGGAAAGAGGAAATTAGGTGATCTTAGGGAGGATGTGTGGCTATCTATGGCGAGTTTCACTTCATATTTCTTGCCACATGCTTGCTGTAAAGTTGGACTGTCTACAGGGTTTGATCAAGTAGAACATTCTAAAGGACTTGGCTTAGGATTCTGAATACGATTCCACGCTTAAATGTTTTAAAATGGAATGTTCTATGATGCCTGAGAACTTTGGTTAGTCTCCAGAATGGGTGGTACACTTTAAACATTTTCTCTTTGACTGAAATACATTAGTATTTCACTGATGTAATGGACCATAATTTAAATATATATCTTCAGAAGAGAGTACAGAAACCCACAGAGACAGCTGACCTGAATAAAGGGGAGCTAATGGACCCCCAGACTGATAGCTGGGAACCCAGCATTGAACCGACTCAGACGCCCTGAACATGGGTCTCATTTAGAAGGCCTGGGCAGCCTAAGGGACCTCTGACAGTGGAACCAGGATGTATCCCTGGTGCACAAAAGGACTTTGGGAGTACATTCTCCATGGTTGAATACTCCCCTAAACTATAAGCAGGAGGGAGGGCCTAGACCCTACTCCAAATGACTTGACAGATTTTGTTGATCCCTCCTGGAAGGCATCACCCTCCCTGTGGAGTGGGGGGGGGGGTGAATGGGATGGGAGGGTGGTGGGGGTCATGGAAGGGAGAGAGGAAGGGAGGTAGGGGGAAACTGGGATTGATATGTAAAATAAGAAAAAAATTAGGATAAAAACCTTGCAAAAACAATTTTAAGGTATACATTTTAGCCTATATAGCTAATCTTGATTTTCTCTATAGTCTACAATCTAATATAAAAATGAAGTTCTGCAAATTTTCACTTTAAACAAGAGAAATTCTGTACAGGATAATTTCATAATATAAGAACTAGAAATCACATTTTGCTCAAATTTCAAAATGCCAAATGTGGGAAATTTTGAAAAGGGGAACTGATTAGCAATGTCCATTCCAAGGGTCACAAAGGTACATTCTTTTTATTGTGAAATACGTGTGTGTGTGTGTGTGTGTGTGTGTGTGTTCCTTCAGTGAGTCAGTTCTTTCTTTTGAACATGTGTGTTCCATGTATTGAACTCTGTATTGTCATGGTTAGCCTTCACTAGCTGAACCATCTTCCTGGATCTAACATTTTTTTTTAATTTATTTTTTATTTTACATACCTGCCCCAGTCCGCCCCCCTTCCACACTCCCCTGCACGCCACCTCCTGCCTTCCTCCTTGGGGACTCAACAATGTCTGGCATACCAAGCTGAGGCAGGGACAAGCCCCTCCCTCCTGTGTCAAGGCTGAGCAAGATATCCCACCACAGGGATGGCCTCTAAAAGGATAGTTCAAGCCCTTGGGATAGGTTCTGGTGCCACTGACAGGGCCCCATCCCAACAGATAATGCCATATAACTATCATCCACACTCAAAGGGTCTAGTTGGGTTCCATGCAGGTTCCCTAGCTGCAGTTCATATAGTCCATGAGTTCTGATCAGCTGTCTCTGTAGTTTTCCCCATCATGCTCTTGACTGCTCCTTGTTCATATGATCCCTCTTCTTCCTCTTCAACAGAACTCCAGGAGCTCAGCCCAGTGCTTGGCTGTGGGTCACTACATCTGCTTCCATCAGTTACTAGATGTAGGCTCTATGATGACAATTAGGGTAGGCACTAATCTCATTAAAGAGGAAGGCCCATTGACACATTCTCTCCACTATTGCTAGGAGTCTTAGCTCAGGTCATCCTTGTGGATTCATGGGAATTTCTCTAGCACCAGGTTTCTCCCTAACCCCATAAAGACTTGCTCTATCAAGATATCTCTTTCATTGCTCTCCCCTTCTGTCCCTCCCTCTACTGAGTCTTGATCCCTCTTGTTCCCATCCCCTATTCCCTCCCTTCTACCCAATTTACCGAGGAGATGTTAACTGTTTTCCTTCTGGGACCTTCTATGTATGTCCCTCTTAGGGTCCCCCTTTTTACCTAGCTTCCTGGGGTTATGGATTGTAGCGTGGTTATCCTTTGTTTTACATATGATATCCACTTATGAGTGAATACTGTGTTTGTCTTTCTGGGTCTGAGTTACCTCACCCAGGAAGGCTTTTTCTAGTTCAATACATTTGCCTGCAAATTTCATGATATCATTGTTTTTTACTGAAGAGTAATACTCCATCGTGTAAATGTACCACATTTTCCTTAATCATTCTTCAGTTGAGGGACATCTAAGTTGCTTCCAGGTTCTGGCTTTTATAAATAATTCTGGTATGAATATAGTTGAGAAAATGTCCTTTTGGTTTTGGGTTTAAACCCAAGTGGTATTGCTGCATCTTGAGGTAAATTGATTCCATTTTCTGAGAAACCACTATTCTGATTTCCAAGAGGCTGTGCAAGTTTGTATTCCCACCAGCAGTGGAGGAGTGTTCTACTTACTCCACATCCTCTCCAGCATAAGCTGCCATCAGTGTTTTTGATCTTAGCCATTCTAATAGGTGTAAGATGGCTTCTCAAAGTCATTTTGTTGTATTTCCCTGATGACTAAAGATGTTGAGCAATTCCTTAGAAGTGTTTTGGCCATTTGAAAGTCTTCTGTTGAGAATTCTGTTTAGATCTGTGCCCCATTTTTTAAATGAATTTTTTTTTGTATCTATTTTCTTGAGTTCTTTATATATTTTGGAGATCGGGCCTCTGTCAGATGTGGGGTTGGTGAAGATCTTTTCCCATTCTGTATGCTGCTAGTTTTTCTTGTTGATCATATCCTTTATCTTATAGAAGCTTCTCAGTTTTAGGTGGTACTATTTATTGATTGTTGCTCTCAGAGTCTGTGTGTGTGCTACTGGGATTATACTTAGGAAGTCTCCTGTGCCAGTGTGTTCAAGGGTACTTCCCACTTGCTCCTCTATCAGGTTCAGTGAGATTAGTCTTATGTTGAAGCCTTTAATCCACTTGGACTTAAGTTTTGTGCATAGGGATAGATAGGGATCCATTTGCATTTTTATACATGTTAACATCCAGTTGTGCCAGCACTATGTGTTGAGGATATTCCCTTTTTTCCATTGTACAATTTTGGCTTCTTTGTAAAAAATCAGGTGTTCATAGGTGTGTCAATTAGTATCAGTGTCTTCAATTCAATTACATTGATCCTTATGTCTGTTTTTATGCCAATAGCAAGCAGTTTTTATTACTGTATCTCCAGAGTAGAGCTTCAAGTCAGGGGTGATGATGCCTCAGAAGTTCCCTTATTGTACAGGATTGTGTTGGCTATCCTGGGTTTTTCCATATGAAGGTAAGTATTCTTCTGAGGTCTGTGAAGAATTATGTTGGAATTTTGATGAGGATTGCACTGAATCTATAGATTGCTTTAGTTAAGATTGCCATTTGGGAGATCTTTCCATTTTCTGATTTCTTCTCCAATTTATTTCTTTGAAGGTTTAAAGTTATTGTCATACAGGTCTTTCACTTGTTTGGTTAGAGTTACCTACAGATATTTTATGTTATTTGGGGCTATTTGTAAAGGATGTTGTAACACTTTTAAAATGAGAGTTTCAAAGTTTTTCCTTGGCAGTATAGTAGCTGATCCTCCCAGGGGATGCTAATATCTATTGGAAAACTTCTTCCCTCTTAAAGGGTCCATCTGAGAGCTGTTACTAGAGCATCATGGAAGCACCATCTCAAAGCTATAGGGCTTAAGTTCAAGTCTTTGTCCACCTGTTATTTTTCTGTTCTTTTGGGACATTGTTAATACCCACTATGAAATGCTTGCCTTCTCTTTATGATGTAAATACACAACAGTATCATCTTTATGAAGTTGAGGGGATAAGGTGAATGACTGGCTACCACAGACTTACAATGATGCCTATTATGAGTGATGCTATGCAAACTTGTTAAGTCAACTAAAAAGAAACTGGAATGCTGTTGGCTTAGTTCATGAAGGCCAGGAAGGAAGAAATAAAAACAATACATGCAATGAAAAGTCTCATAATTTCAGAGCTTGCCAAATGGGAATAAACTAAAGATTAGAA